ATATTTCTATTTCAGTTTAATTATTTTTTTTCAAGTTATTTTAAATTATTAAGTTTTGTTTTATTGTATTTCGTTTTATTTTATTTTAATTCATTTTTTTCATTTCGGTTTATTTTATTTTATTTTCTTTCTATTTCATTTCAATTATTTTATTTTAAGTTATTTTATTTTACTCCGTTTAATTTTACATTATTTTTCTGTTTAATTTATTTGATATCATTTTAAATTATTTTTTTTATTCTATTTTATTTATTTTATTTTCATTTAATTTTAGTTATTTTCTTTTATGTTTATTTATTTCACCTAATTTTTTATTTAATTTTTTTATATTTGATTTTATTTTATTTCTATTACTTGACTTTATTTGATTTTAATTTATTTTATTTCTATTTCATTTAATTATTTTGTTTTTTTTTTAACCCTATTTGTATTAGTTTGTTCAACTATTCCTTTTGTTTTATGTTATTTATTTTATTTTCATTTAATTTTATTTGTTTTTCTATATTTTAGTTCATTTTATTGAATTTAATTTATTTTATTATAGTTTATTTTATTTTATTTTATTTAATTAAATTTTATTTTATTTTATTTTATTTTATTTTATTTTATTTTATTTTATTTTATTTTATTTTATTTTATTTTATTTTATTTTATTTTATTTTATTTTATTTTATTTTATTTTATTTTATTTTATTTTATTTTATTTTATTTTATTTTATTTTATTTTATTTTATTTTATTTTATTTTATTTTATTTTATTTTATTTTATTTTATTTTATTTTATTTTATTTTATTTTATTTTATTTTATTTTATTTTATTTTATTTTATTTTATTTTATTTTATTTTATTTTATTTTATTTTATTTTATTTTATTTTATTTTATTTTATTTTATTTTATTTTATTTTATTTTATTTTATTTTATTTTATTTTATTTTATTTTATTTTATTTTATTTTATTTTATTTTATTTTATTTTATTTTATTTTATTTTATTTTATTTTATTTTATTTTATTTTATTTTATTTTATTTTATTTTATTTTATTTTATTTTATTTTATTTTATTTTATTTTATTTTATTTTATTTTATTTTATTTTATTTTATTTTATTTTATTTTATTTTATTTTATTTTATTTTATTTTATTTTATTTTATTTTATTTTATTTTATTTTATTTTATTTTTATTTTAGTTTATTTTATTTTATTTTATTTTATATTTATTTGTTTTATTTTATTTTATTATATTTTATTTTATTTTATTATATTTTATTTTATTTTATTTTGTTTTTTTTTTTTATTTTATTTGATTTTATTTTATTTCATTTTATCTTATTTTATTTTACTTTATTTTATTTTAACTTATTTTGTACTCTTATATATTTTATTTCGTTTTATTTTATCTTATTTTTATTTTATTTCGTTTTATTTTATCTTATTTTTATTTGATTTTATTTTATTTCATAAGAACGAAGAGATTTATTTCAAAAAACAATAAGAACATTTTTATATCTAATAATTAAATCTTTACACCATGAAAAAAAATGCAAGCAATAAAGAATTTAATTAATTATATCTTATTCCAACTGCATTTTAAGCCGGATAACGGCAATGTCCCGCCGCAAAAATGCGTCCATTTGTACAGGCATATCCGTGGACCTGCAACAGCACTAATATAATGAAAGCCGTCCAACGAAAGCTCTTAAGCCAAAATGAGCGATTATATTTTTTAACCTCCTTGGTGTTGGTGTAGTTGTGCTGACGACTGTTGAAGCGGCGTGTAGGCATTTTTATAAGCTGAGGACTTTAAATAGCGTCAAAAAGACTGCGAGTTGATGAAAGCTCCACTTGTATTAGACACTTAAGCCCTCTTTATAATCGGTTTTTAATTGAAAAATATTTTACCTTTTCTTTACTTTGTTTTTAGTGTTTTTATATATATATATTATTTTAATATGTTGAATTTAATTTTTGGTGAATTTTTCCTTTCCCACATAAACACCGGTCACTTTGCGTATTCCTTTACGACTAATTGTTGTTTTCAGCTTTTCGTTTACTTTTGTGCGCCTTTCGTCAAGGTCTTTTGTCAGGGTCCTTTTGTTAACCGTGAGTAATTATTAGCTTTTATGACAAATATGCTTAATGTTTGTAGGTATCTATATATGTACACTTTGTCTAATGCTAATTACAATTTCCACTTAAGCACTGTTAAAGCTTATTCACCACAACTATTTCGGTCCCTGGAGTGTCATATATTCAGCACACTAACTAACGGTAGTGTAATGAATGTGAAATGGAAGAGTTAAGGAAGATATATGGAAAATAATAAAACTATATGACTCCAAAAAATGCAAAAGAAACGTCTAGTCTTTTAGTTAAAAAAAAGGTACTGTATCTTTGATAATTAGATTGGTTAGACATTATAAAAAAATCGCATGAGACTTATTTTTTTATTATTGATTTTAAATTAAATATTAATAAAAATATATTTAAAGATATTAAGTATTTTTGCTCTTTGTTTGTTTCAATTATGTATAGGCATATTGAAGCATTCTTTCTCTCTATGTAAATTGGTATGTACGTTTACGTAAATATAAATTTGTATGTACACGCATGTATATATTATATATTTGTTTGCATGCATTGACAAAACTGGTTTTGGTGACATTTTGTGTTTAAAGTATTTGTTACTCTATAAATTTGTTAACATTAGGCAATTATATGTGCATTGTCATTTTTTGATATAAATAATCGTATGTTTTTTTTTATCGATGTAAAGAAGAAGATATACCGTAAAAATAATACAATAGAAAACTACAGCTACGCTTACGTATAATTTTTATGAAATTTCCCACAACCAAAACTCAAAGTAGCTGCTGCCCGCCCTGAACACTTTCAGAAGTTCCATCTTTGAGGTCTTGGGACGACGTGAGCCTGTTGGCGTAGACCTTATTTTTCACGTGGCCACAAAGAAGCAAGGTGTTAAAACAGAAGATCTCGGTGGCCGATTGCGATCATCTCTTCGAGAGATATGGAAACTTTTTCTTATAAATTTCGATAGTTTATTGCTTGTTTAGCACGCAACGCTGTGTCTTGTTTAAAGTAAACGTTGCCCATGTCAATACATACAATTCCAGCCATAAAACATTATTAATCATCTCCCTATTCACCATAATGGTTTCTCTAACCCCATTTTCGACAAAATAAGGTCCAATGACTCCTCACAATCAAATCAAAACGTTACAAATTCAGAATGTAGAGGTTTTACAACAATAAGTCTTGAATTTTCCGCGACTCAGATGCGACAGTTTTGCTTACTGACGAGCTGGAAATAGGGCTCATCAGTCAAGATGATTTCTCGATGAATTTCCGCAACATTTTCATGCATTTCAAGGACCCAATCAGCAAAGACACAACGTTGTTGATGATCGACCAGCTTGGAATTCAAAGAACGACGAGGAGTAGACGAACCTGGACTTTCTTTAATATTTTTGCCTACAGGCAGCCAATTTCCGTTTTGACGAGGTGCTTCATGACGACCGAACCGTCTCCGCCAGATTCTCACCATTTTTATAGTGAATTTTAATCATTTTAGTTTGTTATTGAAGCCTTTATCTTTCCATTTTCATCAATGGCGTAGTCTTTATTTATAAAATATAAAAAATTTATTGATTTTAATTCGATTAAATTATTTTATTTCTTTTTCATTTCACTTTATTTTATATTAATAATTTTTAGTCTAACTAATTTTTTTAATTCCAATTTTTTATGTTTTACATTTAAAGAATTTAATAATCTCAATTTTATTTATTTTAACTTAATTTCTGCTTAATTTTTATTTGAAATTATATTCTAATTCTATTTTACTTAGTACTTTATTGAATTTAATTTTTTTTATTCCATTTTAATTTATTCCAATTTATTTTATTTTGTTTTATTATTATTTCTTTTTTTTTTATTTATTTTAATTAATTAATAAAATGTATTATTTTACTTTATTTAAATTTATTTCATTTCACTTCAATTTTATATATTTTATTTTATTTATTTTAATATATGTAATTTTTTTTAATTCATTTTATTATTTTATCTTACTTCATTTCCTTTCATTTCATTTCATTTTTTTATTTATTTTATTTTTTTTTTAATTATTTAGTTTTACTCCATTTCATTTTATTTAATTTTATTTCAGTTCATTTTATTTAATTTTGTTTTATTGTTTTATTAAACTTTAATTTATTTTAGTTTATTTATTTTAATTAATTTTAATCTATTTCATTTTATTCCATTTAATTTAATTTAATTTAATTTAATTTTGATTTTTTTATTTCGTTTTATTTTATTTTATTTTATTTTATTTATTTTATTTTATTTTGTTTTATTTTATTTTATTTTATTTTATTTTATTTTATTTTATTTTATTTTATTTTATTCCAATTTATTTTAATCTGTCTAATTTTATTTATATACATATATTTAAATTTATTTTAATATTCTTGTAGTTGTTTTAAAGGTTATTATATTTATTTATAAATGATGAGCAACTAGTTCAGAAAGTTTATTTAATTTTAAATTGATAACAGTGGTTTTTCCATACATACATATATAGACAGCAATTTTTTTTGTATTAAATATGATATGTATGCACATTTCGTGTATGTTTGTGCATTAGTCCGATTATTTGAATTTCTCGAGGGAGAGAAAGAGAGAGATAGAGCTGTTGATTAAGAGGGTGAAAATAAATAAAATTAATAAAGTAAAAGTGATAATCTAGTACTTAGATTGTGTTTTCTATTAGCATGATAGTGGAAATAAGTATAAAAAAGTTTTGTTTGTATATTTCTTTAGCGGTTGATGCAAGCAAAAATATCTTAGCGGAAACATCACTTTTATTTTCTGCTGCTGTTGATTAAAGGTTTTCTCATTAGAAAAATTACCGAACATATTTTCTTTTTTTTTCTTTTTGTTTTTTTTTCCTTATTTTCACAATTCACACTATTAACCGCAACTTAAGAATCAAGTAGGAAATTAAAAAAAATGTTAATATAAAAAAAAATTAAAAAGATAATTGCGTTTGGAAATTGCTTAACGAAGCTCCGGCTGTGTTAAAGTGAATATTTTCGAATCGCTCAGATCAGTGCGAAAGTGACAGTTGAAGAGAGAACGTCGTGATGTGCGCAAAACGGTCAAAGAAGAAGACGGGATTGAGTTAAAAACGTTGCGCCGGTTAAACGACTAAAAAGTGTTACGAAGAAGAAAATAAACAAACAAATAATACAAAAACAAATAGTGAAAAAAAAATAATAATAATTAAAAAATAAACAAAAATTCATAAAAACAAATAAGTAAAAAACTAAACAAAACAAAACCAAATAAAAAACTGGTCTCCCCACAAACAAACAAACAAGAAAAATCAATTTAATAAGTTCACAAAAAAAATACTCATATACACATATACAAACAGACACAAGTACATTTTATATAAACACAAAGATGCTGTCATCGATAAAGTCATCAATATACCCATTGTTGTTGTTGTTGTTGTTAATTACATTAAGCGCTGAATACACGCTACCGCAAACACTTGAAACTACAACAATAGCAACGGAAATTGAGACGCTGCTACCGGAGGCAGAAACAACAACAACAGTGAAAACTACAATTATAGTTAAGGGCAATACAACAACAACTACGACACCAACTAAAGCAACAACAACAACAGCAGCAGCTTTGTTAAAATCTACAACAACAGCAAAGTTGTTGTTGTTGCAGAATAATACACCAAGTCAGCAGAAAATTGAAGATTATGGCAAAAGTGGTAAATATGAAATAACTAAATTTTGATATAAATAAAACAAAAAAAAAAATCTTAAAAAATTTTTTTTAATATTTTTACATGAAATAAAGGCTCCTCGTATAAAAAAAAATCCATCAACCGTTCGGAGGCGGCTTAGTATAAACTGTAGGTCCCTCAAAGTTATCGAAGTCATCTAATGGATGGTCCAGGAAACGAGCGGACCAGAGGGAAACGGGGGTTAGATGAGTTAGCTTTAGGGTGCTTGCAAAGAGTTGATTATTGTCTTTCGGGGACACATGGCATGACATACTTTAAGTATGTCGGGGTCTAGTTTGAATAAGTAGGTCTTTAATGTACTACAATATCTAGATCTAAGTTGTGTCTGTATTGCGCGGAGCTCTTGAAGCAGCTTGAGCTCCGCGTTTGCAATAGGTGGTGGTTTGGCTCCGAGAATGTCATTCTCTGGAAGAGAGTTCAGGAAGGTATTGACGGAATGTCGGTGAATGGCTGAAAAGTTGTCCTCTAGATCATATAGTCTCTTTCTGATGTGCCTGGGAAGGGATTCTGCTCTAGTAAGTGTTTATTGGGATTGTCCCTACGGTAGCATGCCAACAGATTTTGCTTGCACCATAGTCTTTCCCATCACGGTCCTGAGGGCTGCGTTTTTGGTAGGCTTGCTGCTACTTCATCTCCGTCTCGCTAGTCTCCGGCGCCCACATTGGTGTAGCGTAGTTCACAACGGGCCATCCAATTGTCTTGTAGGTTACCAACAATCTTTTTTTGTGTTTTCGCCAAGCGCTGCCGGCTAAAGCTTTGAGGATTTTTTTTGCGGCTCTGGAGCTTTATGATAATTGCAATCATATGTGGAGTGAAAGAGTGTAGGCTGTCGTTGTTTATAGTAGGAATTCTTACGCCATGGATTTTACGATCGAGTTCAAAGCAGTGCTTCTTCTTCCAGCTGATGAAGGGACATCTTCGTTTGACCCATATCTCCTGTCTTAAAACCATTTTTTTTCATATTTGGAAAAAGAAATTGGAGAGACTACAGCTGGAAACTATACATGAAAAGGATCGTAGTCCAGTTTATGCTAGAATGGAATGGACCTCTTTTGTATAAGTTCGGCAGTGTTAGCTTTAGGACCTGTCTAAAAAGTCTTAATAATATTCCTCTTTTCAAGACTCTTTTCAAGAGGAAGCAAACTTTTTAGTGAATAAGACTCCTTGAAAGGTTTTTTTGTGCATACAAACTCGGAGAAAAGGTTAGTGATGTAGTGCGAGAGATCCTTGGTTCCCCTATCGGCAAACACTCCTTGAAGCTTTGTGCTTTTAATCGAGTATGAGTCGAGTCTCTCTCTCTCTCTGTTTTGATGATGTCCAAATACCTACAGTCTCGAGCCTCTGCCACTTCATGAGCTTTCATTCTTAGTTCGTCCAATTTCATTTCAAGGATTTTCTCGCCAAGTTTTGGTTTGACGATTTCCTATGAAGGATCTTAACGTTCGACGACCGTTGAAATTAATGACTTAGAGCGCCCTTCTTTCTGGACTTTTGTTGACAATAAAATTACTCAGATTTTTTATTAATCTCAGCCCGAGCTTAACTTAAGCATCACTCTTCAATAATTTCCCTAAATAATTCCTTCTCAAATCCTCTATTTCATTTCAGTAAAAATATTCTTTCCCACACCCAGCGATTCGGAGGAGGAGAGTAAATTCGATGTTTATGGCTGGAAGACCACACCGCTGCCAAATGGCAATAAAATGATATTTGATAATAAGCCAACAACTACAAGTACTGAAGCAAGTGTAGTAATTGAAACAACAACAACTCATCTGGAAGCAAACAACGCAACAACCAATGCAACAATACTATCCTTTGATGATCGTGTGGGTATTTTAAATTTAGCACCGCATTGTCCGGACGGCTTTGTGATTGTCAATCAACGGTGTCATAAATCGGCTTGATGTTATGCGTTGGAATGGCATAAATAAATATTTTATTTACATGGAAAAAATACTTTATTGAATTTTTATTTTATTTTATTAAACAAGAATTTGATCACTTTCCAATATTTTTTATTGAAAGTGAGTTCTTTAATGGCAAGAAATATTAATAAAAAATATGTACAAAGCTCTTCACCTTCTATGGGCTGGTTGTGCTATTCAACAGAAGGAGACAAAAGGCCATCAAACGCCTTAGCCATATGCCAAGCTCCATAGATTTGGCTTTGTTGGTAGTAATTGCTAAGGTCAGTCGACCAGAGAGCTGTAGTCGCTTGAATTAGAAGGGAGTATCGGACGGAACGACAGGGATTCGAGGAATGAGGACATCTTCACCTTGGAGAGATACAGTCAGAATTTTTGCTTCTGTTATGTTCCTCTGTAATTTTTCAACTTTGATTTCCTGGCATCGATATTCAAATTTATTACATGTGAATGGACCACCACCCAGCCCAAAGAATTGGAAAAATTGCTTGGACGGTTGACCGCCTCAGCTGTTTCCCTGACGATGTCTATGAACAATGTTAGACTGAATAATGTGATTGTGATCTTTTTGTTGCGGCAGACATAGAACTATTCCTCAAAGTAGTTTTTGGAGAATGTTGCGGTAGAGACAGTCCTTGGTCCTGTCGCGGTAGCTTTTCAATTTTTTTCGCCTCTCACATCAGTCATACATTAAAACGGTGGATATTCTTGAACAGCTACACCGTAGGATTGAAAATCGTTGATCGAGGATTGGCAGACTGTATTATTGTACAAAAATTTCAGTCGGCCCCTGTTTCTTCGAGATGTGTAGATCCATATAAACGAACATAAGATTTATATATATATTGATCCATCTACTTATCTATATGTATTTTCTGCTTCACTGATCTTTCACCAAATGATTAAAATGAATACTTCGAAGTAAGCCAAAAGAACCATTCGGATCTATCCTTACTCATACCTCCTCAAAATCTATGTTTATGCTTTCTTAAAGTGTTTGCGTTCTAGAACAGATTTGTCACCAGTAATGACCGAGATTCGTCACCAGTAAACGTTACTAAAGTTGCTAGGCTGACCATTTTCGAATTTGTTCGAGAAAAGCACTCAAGCCTCATTTGGGGCCTCATTTGGGGCCTCATTTAAAAGTCGCAGTACTCATCGAGCAGATTTCTTCGTGATTACTTAATATTCGCATTACATCCATAGCTTACAAGCTCAATTCATTAGCAATTATTTCTTTTGTCAAACTTGAGTCCTCGTCATTTTTGGACTTTACCAGAGCTACAGTGAAGTCAGCAGTGGAAGATTTTGATCGACCTTCTGGGGACTTGCTCTCTACGGAAAAATGTCCGGAATCTTCGGATTCACTTAGAAATAGTCTCTAAAAACGGTGCTTGGTCCAGTGGACCCTGGTTCACTTGTCCAACAGTTTGTCGTATGAACCCTTTCAGAAGCCATCAAAACAATATAGCAAAACTTTAAGTCAATGAATGCACATATACCGTGTATATACTCGGCCCTTTACGACTTAATGTTTCCAAAGGAGTACAGGTTTTCCTCCTGTTGGAGTGTTGTTATCTAACCAGTGTTTCCCTGTCTTTTAATTCATTGGACTTTGCAATGCCGTTGTGTATCTCACACAGCTCATCGAAGCTGATGCCTGCACCTCGTCAGTTCTTCGCCGCCGTATTTTAATGACAAAGAAAGCCAGTGGCTCCTGCCGCTTTTTTTTTTTTGTTAAACAGGCGTTTTTCTTCATAGTTGTGTATTGAGTGGAACGTCTCAGCCATCATCATCGGTTGGCTAATCGGTCTCGCCAACTCGGTGCTATTGATTTTCACTGCAGGGCAGAGCAAGCTAGAGAAATGTTTCCTTCGTAAATTCTGTTTATGCTGAGCATCAGTCACCAGATTTCTCTTCTCCATTCTTTTTCACAAAAAAAGCTCGGCTTTTGGAACATACTGAAAGACGTCTAATTTTTTCGTGGATCTTACCTGTTGCTCAAGATCTTCATACTCACGCATTTCAGCCACTCACTGTCGGCAAACGCGTCACGCAGCAACAGTAGTCCAATGATTAGATTTTACTACTATCACTCGGAAGACCAAGGTTGGAGTCTTGGCTCGACCAACGCCTAAAATTGTAAAAAATCAAGTTTTTCTAACTGCCGTCGCCGCACGGCTCACATTTCTTCGAGTATATTTCGGACAATGAAATTAAAAGCTTCTTATAAAATTCGGAAGCGGCCTAGACTGGAGGTCCCTCCATTTGTTGGAAAACCAACAAGACACTTGAATTGGAGTAGCAGCTCAAATAAAATATCTTATACTAAATATTTTCCAATAATATAAAATATTTGCAAAAAAAAAATTATTTATAAAATGTACAACAATTTATTTACAAAAATAATAACAACAACAAAAATATTTTCCAAATAATTTAAACACTATAAAATATAATCACAGCTCTCCTTACAACAAATTGATATTTTTATATATGTACATACATACATATATTTCCACTTCACTTCGGCGCGTTCACTCCTTTGCGCACGCGCTTATGACACCGCTTATTGGCCAAAATGTAGCCCACCGGACAGTGAGGCAGCGGTTTGGTTTCCAATATATTATATGGCTTTATTATTGTATCCACCGCTGCAGTTTCTACCAAATTTGCCGTAATTGGTTCCACTGTGACTGGGCTCATTGTTGTTGCTTCGCCATAAGCCTCAACCACTTCACCGGACTGATCAATCAAGTAGGCGCGACAGCCGTTAAGGATGAGCAGGCAGAGGTAGGTGTAGAGAATCATGATGTTTACAGGCATTTTGTGTTGCGGGAATTTGAAGAAGAAGAATTATTTTACTTTTTCTTATTTTCGAATTCAATTAAAAATATAGTTTCATTTAGTTTAAATTCTGATTTCTCACGCTTCACTTTTATACTCGCTTCTTACTGTCCGCTTACGCTTTAATTCTTATGTATTTATAGATTTTGTAATTTATTTGCGGCTACTCCACATATTCAACTTAACCCTCAAACTGAGAGTTTATTGACCATTCGCTGCCGAACTCTGCTGTGATGAGCTCCACTCAAGTGCGTCTTGTTGTGCCGCCGGCCGCTTGTATACACTTCACAATGCACTTCTTGTTGTGGATCTGATTAGCGGCGCACTTCAGCTACACCATACTTAAGTGGTTTTGAGCAAAGCGGAGCTTGGGAAGTGGAACATCCGCACAAGTGTACGCTAGTTGTAGTTGAACTTGTTCGGTGATGGTCGAATTCGCTAAGTCTGCCGCATATCTGACTCAGTCCATTGGAGCTTCGGCAGCGTGTCAAATGCATTACCACAAGACCTTCTCATGTCGGAAGCTGTTTGACACTTTGCGTTATGAATGTAAGATGAAAATGGGTTGAGTGATCCCTGAAGTGTTTTCATGCTGTTTTTTAGTTTGTTTATAATTTCGAAATGTTGAAAACTAAAGCAAAAGGTTTTTGACCAACTTAAAGCTCGGTGCTTTCTGAAATAAAGACCCGAAAATCTCAAGTAATAATATATATATATATATATATATATGGGTTTTATAGCCGTAGCAGCGATTTTCTGGCTCCGAGCTCATCTTCCAATTATGATGAATGAACCTACAGCTCATTCTAAGAAGTCACCGAACGGCTCTTGGATATTTATGAGGGGCTTTTTATTTCTTGTCAGAAATACACTCAGAAGGCTTGACATTTCTAACTGGGGTATGACCTTAATTACCCAAAAATTCAGTTTCTAGAATTATTGGTTAGACCAGAACTCGGATCCATCATGCGCCGCTTGGTAGTAAGCAGTGCCAACTACTTCTTTGGCCGCCGAATTAAGATCTTTTTAATTCCAGTTACCGCTTACAGCGAGCTGAAAATTTTGTGTTCCAGACTGCGCTGAAGAAGCCGGTGGCGAAGAGACTGAAAGAGTTGCTCGGTGTGCGCAATGTGGCTTGTTTTTTGGATTATTTGCAGCCCTAACCAATTTTTATTTTTTGGACTGAGTAGGCCTATTTCGACTAGCGTCCTTAAGACACCGACTGAATTCCTGCTGACCAGAGAGTGGAAAGGATATATGTTTTTCTCCAGTTCTGTCGGTGGACCGTAAGACGCAGTAACTTGGTATTGATTTTTGAACGGAGCTCAGATGAGGAGACTGTGATCTTCCATTTCACCAGGATTATCTCATGCAAACAGACACTTCAGTGAGTTTGAAACTGAAAACCTCCGCATTAATGAAGGTCCCTGAATGTGAAGGCTTTAATGAAGGTCCCTGGATGTGAAGGCTCAACATCAAAATGAGCTCTAAACTATCTTTAAAGAAAGGTCTTTAGCATCTACTGTGCCCAGCAAAGCGGCTGCACGTTACCAATGTGACTCTAAAGCCGCAAATAACAAATTCAGAACATTTTTAAAAGAAAGAAAATATGCACTGGGATCGACGCTTGTCGTGCCAGACTATTATCGGCGCTCTAGCTTGATAGAGTGCCGAATATGTCACATTTGAAGAAGTGTAGTCTCTGGTGCTCGGTTCTCTATACTCAGTTCTTTATCTTGCGTCCGTCCTTATCCCACCTTTGTGAAGAATTGTGTCACGGCTTAAAGAGGTGGAGCTTTAATTGATTCAAGCTGACATATTCCAATTAGTGGAGTCTGTTACGAAGAAGTGTCAGTCTTGAAACAAGAAACCCGTGTGTATTCATCTCATAACCTCTTAAGTAGCAACATTGCGCTGGATTTGTGAACCACCACGTAAGAATCAGCTCCAATCAAAAGTTATAACCAGAGTCGACCGAGAATTCTCAATATTTATGACGACCTTGGCAGGCGTACAAGAGATTTTGATTTGAGAACATGCACCTGGATCGTCCGGTCTCTTAATTGTGATGGTCGACACCTACAAAGCTGTTAGGTATAGGTTAACATCACCGCTTTCTAAGAGGAGGAGATAAGAACGTGGGAGAGTAAGCTCTCGGGACATATACTCCAGCGGCCACACAAAAGAGCACAAATTTGGTCTAACCTTTGTAGAAAAAGTGAGACTCCTTTACTGGGTACGTCTTCTCTAACGAGAAGATAATATCCTCGACTATTGGCTAATGAGCGACTTATAGCCTTTAGCTTTAGTTTTCATTTCAAAGAACACGCTTGAAGCGGTCTACAGCTGTTTTTTTTTGTCTGTATGGTATATGTGTTCTTACTTAAACACTCAGTCGCTGGACCTTCTTGTGCAATCTGGTGTAAGTCGAAATTTTTCTCTCCGGGCGGGAGTTTCAAGCTTTTCGGAATGGGAAAACGAGTTCCCTTTGCTATATACTGCTTCTGCGAATATACGATTTTTATTTGTGTTTTTTATTATTATGCCAAGGGATCGCTATTTTAAGATTCTTATAGCATAGTTATCCCCTCAGGACACAAAGAGAGGGAAGCTGCAGCTGAGGGCTAAGTGGACGAGCAGCAACCGCGGTTTGGTGATTAAAACGACACCAAAAAGAGTTTAGCTCCCAAAGGTCTGATTGCCATGAGGGAGTCAAACCTTAAAGCCTATCCTCAAGGTCTGCCAAGGCAAGTTTTAACAGCCTTTCAAAGCATTTTGTAGTACAAAATTAATAAAACTAAATGGCAGTATTTATTGCATCGCAAGTGCCAAATTAAAATCCACTCAAATGGAAACAATAAATGCCAACCTTAAATAAATCAAGCAAAAGTATTACAAAACTTTGAAATTTTCCAATTTTTTCTGCCACTAATTCGTCCCTAACCTCACATACTCACTCCAGCCGTTACCTTCATTGAAATACTCGCAACACAACAACATAATTTTTTTTTCAGCCATCAGTAGCAAATGCTGCAAACGAAAAGCTAAACAAACAGCCGAAAAGAGGAAGAAAAGAGGAGGAAAAGGATTTTCAGTGCAATTTACCTTAGTTTCTCTCTCCCGCGACCAGCGCATTTTCTCTTGCCATTTCTAGTATATTTTGGCAAACCACAAGAGTTAATCAAGTACTATGCATGCTTGTATGTACATACATATGTATAAAGAACAAACGGAAAAATAGTAAAAATTGTAAAAATCTAACGATTTACCTAAACAATTCCCATGTTGCATGTTTGCCAGTGTTGCAACATTGGCATCAGCCGCCAGTCCGTCAGTCAGTCAGTAGCAGCGATATACTGAGGGGCCAACCAATGGCATTGGCAGGTGGATTATCATTGCTGGCGTAGCTGCCACAGACCCAGCAAAGAAAGCGAAGTCTTCTTAACTAAAATCCTACTTGAGCGAACGAAACTCTTTCAGTTGCTTCAAGTGATTACTAGGAAGGCGGTTTGTAATGCGTATGAGATTCATTTGTTGCTCTTATTCATTTCTCTGAAAGGTAGAAAAGAATATTCACTTCAAACTTTCGACTCCTAAAATAAAACTGAATAAAAATTAGAATGGAAGAGGTTACTTGGAGCATTGAAGAAAATACTATCTTCTTCTTTTAAAAGTTAGTAGAGACGATGTTTCGGTAAAAATGCATTCTAATCTGAATTCCTTGGAATTATTAAAACAAATTCAGCTGATTAGCTGAGGTTGTTGTTCACCGATTGAGAAGGATTTTGCCCTTTCCCCATTTAGGAGTGCACGAGTTGTACGGTCAATTCATTTCCTGCTGATAATCCGCGGATAAATCGATTGTTTTGCCGAAGGAACCAAAATGCCTGTACTATGTGGGGGGATTAACGGGGTAAGGATTGCTCTCTCTCTCTCTTACAAGCTTGGCCAATTCCTATGAGTCCATAAGTTTGTTTAGAGAGACAAGTTGTGGTTGCATTGCAGAGACGTAATGGTAGCTTGTCTATCACCTAATTAGTTATGGAGCTACGTATGGGCTTCGATTATTCTAACATAAGCTCGACTTGGAAGGTGCAGGAATAGTCAGGCAATCAATCAAGAGTTTGGTTAAGTAGTTTCAGCAGGTCTCTACGTCAGTGGAGGAATTTACATACAGACGACTATTTCTGAGTGGAGTATTGGCTCCCAAAAGATATTGCCTAGGGGTATGCACTGTTCAGAATTGACTCATATTGTAAGATATTCTTAGGACAACTGAGAGACGAGCCTCTTAACTTGTGATTCTTAGATCAGTTTGTGGAAATTTTTAAGACCGAAGCCTCTTGGAATCTAGTCTTTTTTGCATTTGCAGTAGTTCTTTGTCCTTGGATCAGAATTGACTCATAATGTTAGATATTTTAACGACATCTTAAAGAGTGGTTTCGCAATTCGTGATTTCTAATAGTTTCTTTGATCTACAAGAAATTCAAAGGACTATATGTGGGGGCTCCGTTCGTCAATAGCCTTTTGGCTCTGAAGCAGTTCGTACATGTCTCTGAGACCGAGGTCTCTTAGAGTTTAGTCGTTTTGACTCACTCTATTATGCATTCTTACGACATCGCAAAGACGCGCATCTTAATTCGTGACTTCCATTAATTTCTTTGTGCTACAATACATTCAAAGGATTATAGCTCTTAAATCCGTTCGAGGAATTTTCTCAGAGCGAGCTCTCTCAGAGTCTATTCATCAAAAGACCTTGAATCAGTTGGTAGGCATTTCTGGGACAGGGAAATCATGGAATCTAGTCATCTCGATGCATTTGCAATAGTCTTTTGCCCTTGGACCCGAATGAACCCATAATGTTGCATATTTTTATGAACTCTTAGACTGAGGACTCTTTCGTTTTGTCTTTCCCTAACAACCTGACTATGATGTTGTGAATCTGCGAGCAGCTGTTATATTAACACTTAAATGTAATGCACGAAGGAGTGCGAATGGAATGTGTTTTCAAATCAGGTAATGCTTTTTGTCATCATCTGCCGTTTCAAGCGCATCGACAAATCTTTACTGGGAGTAATTCAAACGGTTGCACTTTCCTCACTCTACCCGCATTGCTTTGGGGTACTTTTACTCTCCACTCTCTCTCACACTCTCTTCTCTCTCCATTGGCTACCTTTATGCAACTCAGATACTCATCTTACTGCCGATTTTCGTTTGTTCGTTTCCAGCGTTTATTGAAATTTTATGCATGCAATTGTTGTTGTATAAATAGTTATTGCAAGCACTTATTTTTGTTGTTGTTGTTATAGTTATTGTTTACCATCTTCCTACTTATTATTGTTTCTGCACTTTTGTTTATTAATTTTCATAAAAGCAAAATGTTTCCTTCGCCATCTCTTCGGTAAATAAATAGTTATTTCCGGTGTTTTGCCGGGTTTTTACTTAAGCTTTTCTTGTAGGTTCTTTTTCTGTCTTTATTGCTGATTTTACAGCGTGCCACCGCGCCCCCCTCTGCTTCTCTCTCTCTCTCTCTCTCTCTCCCTCCTTATGACGCTCGGCTTTCATTCATTCGAAGAAATCTTGCATTGTTTTCACTTGCAGCTTGCAATTGGTTGCTTACCTTGTTCTGCCCTGCCTTGCCCTACCTTGCCTTACCTCGTCTTGGCTTGACTTGACTTAATCAGACAAATATTGGCAGCAGCGCAATTTTCATATCAAGCAATCGGAAATGTAAAGAAATTCTTGTAACAAAAGGCAAACAATAAATGCGCCATGCGAATGTATAAACAATTGAGATAAGTTTTGCAATCAGCGGCAACAACTCGTTGGCGTAGTTGTTGTTGTTGTTGTTGTTGTTGTCATTTACAAATATCGATACTTTTCACAATTTCTGCAATTTCTTATGAATGAAGTCGCATACTGAATGAGTGGAGAAATAATTTATGGGTAATCAGCGGGTTGTGATTTCATGAATGATTGCTGAGTTTTAGCTCTTTGTCGGCGGAGATGAAGAGAAATAGATAAAAGTCCTTTAATCTCTCCTTGACTAATTGTATTCTATTCATCATCAAAAGCATTCTTCACTTTCTAATCTTACCTCCCTCTGGTGTGAGGCATGAGAGATTATATATCGCATGCAACAAATTACGTTAAACGCATTAAGAATGATACCTGCCGTCAATTAATTTTTCAACTTTTGTCCAAAGCTTGAGCAGGAACTGAGGTGAAATTGCAAGACCTCAGAGGATCTACAAATTTTGAAGGCTTTTTGGGGTTCAACAGCTACCAAAGTCCCAAACTGAATACCCCTGTATCACATAGGCATCTTCAAAGTCCACCAGGCGTAGATGATCACACCTTAGTGATAGAGCTGTTGGCTGGAAGCGAATGAAATTGGCAGCAGGCCAACGGTTCTTAGATTATACTATTTGTCTAGTTGACTGGTTAACTGGTTAACTCCTGTTCCTCATGGTCATAAACATTACAAACGACCAAAGTATTACTACACTATCTGCTGGGTCGCCGATATGAAGCTGCATTGCTCTTCTTGAAGTAAATTTAGGTAAACGTTTTGGCTCTTTTGTTCCTTGCTGATTGAAGATTCTACAGCTTACCGTCGTTTAGTATGATCAGTCTCTCTCTCTCTCTCTCTCTCTCTTTCGGTTGAGCGCTGCACACCCATGGTTTTCCTGCGTTTATTGTCATCAACTTAACCTAGATCAAAAGCGCGTCACGCGACAATAGACAAATCTACCTTAATAGTCCAACTAGCAGTCTGGAGTCTGATCTCCTCCTATATATTCTCCATAGACTATTCTCTATTTTACTTGCCCCTGTATATAAGTATCCAAAGTTCATTAGGTTGACCAAGTTTAACTTTTCTGAGAGGAACTGACAAGCTGATGCCTACATCTTAATTTGAAAGGACTCCATCTCTAGCCGATTCATCGGCTATCTCGTAGCCTTCGACGCCCTTACACCGTGGACCACTTTTCTTTTCTCCGCTCTTTTTAAATTTGATTGACTCATTATACAATATAATGCAACCACTGCCAACTTAGACCAATAGAAACCAAACAGAGGTGACTGTCAAGTTGCATTTGGCAATATGATTTCACGCGAAGATCAACTTAGGTCTTCATGTGGGATTAGCTCAGCACATGGCGAGAAACCCGCTAATACTCTTTCTAAAACCTTGAGGTATGCCGCAAAGACTCAATGTGCTAGTTTACGTTACTCTACTCAAGGCTCTATTTTGAAAACTGAACTTGAGTTATGACTGATTCCTTAGCTTAAGTCTATGCACTACTAGCCCTCTTATCTCTAGATATAGCAGAATAGTTACTGGATCAGTTACATACAGTGGAGGCCTGAAAGAGTAGGATATTTGAGCTGAATAAGAGACCAACCGCAAGTTTGAAATTTTCCATAAGGAATTTTTAACGACGAACGCCCTACTATACGGCGCAAAAGCGCGGACGATATGAATATGTGATGAGGCGGCCCTTGGAGTTTTCGGGAGAAGAGTTTTGCGAACGATTTATGGTCCCTTGCGTATTGGCAACGGCGAATACCGCAGACAATGGAACCATGGTTACGAAAGGTCAGGTGTAGAAGGACCTGGCTGTAGTTGGTATTTCCGATTGGCGCCAGACAGCGAAAAGAAAAGAGAGGAGTGGTGCGCTATAATTGATTAAGCTATAATCGCGTAAGTGTTACCAATGCCAATAAAGAAGAAGAATTTTTAACGACTAGTCAGTTTCTCGTCGAGACTCTTATTATCTATGGTAGTACAAGCAAATTAGATGAAAGAGAAATGCTTAGCAGTGAAGTCAGATGCATTAGCATCTGACCTTTCAAAGTGAAGGTCTCTCTCTCTTACTCTTCTCCCATCAACTTGCACTGGCTCGCAAAATGTGAATGCGGGGCTGTTGTCGACCACACGGACCCTCTCCTACTACCGCCCTTATTAAAAATTAGCGTTTGCATCCAAAAAAAAAACTGTCTGTCTAGTGCGCTCTTTGGGCCGTGCGTGTGGTTGGGTTTTGCCTCTGTGAAAACGACAAGAGCGTCGTGGTCGTATAATAACCGATATTTTCTTGCCATACAATCGAAGAGCACGACTTGGATAAGTAGTGATTTCAAAAAGTTGCTGCCACAAGCTATGCAATTGGAGCGAATATGGCTTTATTGCGAAAGAGATTTCTCGGCAGCGCAATCTCTTATCTGGCGATGTCAATTGAGCACCAAGATCGTGTGATTTGACACCGTTGGACTTTTTTTTATGTGTGGCTACGCGAAAGAAGTGAAAACCAACATTCGTCAGGTTATGATTGAGATATCGTCCAGTAGGTGCCAAGAAGTGTTCGCAAATTAGCAAAAACGGAGCAAAATTTGCAAAAAAAAAAAAAAACTAAAACCTCGGGATGCTGTTAGTGGAAGGATGGAATGCTTCAAAAAGCTCAATGCAAAGGTTTAAAATTTAGTCGATTTAACATTTTTGCACCATTTGTGATGTATCTTTTTGCTGTTTGGCGCCAATTGGAAATACCAAGTACAGCCAAGTTCATCTCTACCTGGTCTATGGATTGGAGGTCTTCCTTTTCCTCTGCTTTCACCGGCAGGTACTGCTTCGAAAACTTTCAAAGCTGGAGTATTCTCACCCACATCCACATTCGAACCACATGACCTAGCCAGCGTGGCCGCTGCTTCTTGATTTGCCGAACTATGTCAATGTCGCCGTATAACTCGTACAGCTTATCGTTCCAGCGTCTACGGTATTCGCCGTTGCTAATGCGCAAAGGACCATAAATCTTACGCAGAACGTTTCTCTCGAAAACTACGAACGCCGACTCATCAGATGTGGTCTTCATAAAAAATTTACAAAAAAAAAAAAACAAAAAAACACTATTT